TTAACATATTTCAGATCAAGTTTACTTTTATCAGCTGAATTATATGCACATATGAAATACAGCCAAATATCTTCAAAAAAGAAAGTTTTATCTCTTTACCACTCCAAACTTCTTCTGGTAACTCTCCATCCAATGGAACAACTGGACCACGGTTAATCAGATATGTTGCAGTGTTAATTGCATCTGCCCAAAACATCTTTGGTAATCCGGCCTGTATCCTTATACTTTTAGCATGCTCATTCAGAGTTCTATTAATGCGTTTTGCAATGCCATTTTGTTAAGGTGTCTTTCGAACAGTCTTCTCCATTCTAATTCCACTTTTTGCACAATATTTCTTGAACTCATTGCCCTCATATTCCCCTCCATTATCTGATCTCAAGCACTTAATTTTCAGACCTGTTTCAGTCTCCACCAAGGTTTTCCACTTCTTAAAACTAGTATAAACTTCAGATTTATGTTTCAAAAAATAAACCCATACCTTTCTCGTTGAGTCGTCGATAAAGGTAACATAGTATGATGATCCTCCAAGAGATGAAACTGGTATAGGTCCCCATACATCTGTATGAACCAACTCCAACTTTTTGACTTCGGTTTCTTGCTATCCTTTGAAAAATTGGCCCTCTTTTGTTTGCCAAAGATACAATCCTCACAAAAGTCAATGTCCACCGATTTCAAATCTGATAGTTTACCCTTAGATACAAGTACCTTCATTCCTTTTTGACTCATATGCCTAAGTCTTTGGTGCCACAGATTTGAGTCTTTCTTCTCACTGGTAACTGCTACTGCATCCTTATTGTTCATAGTCATGTAAAGTGTGCCTTCTTTTTTACCACGAGCAACAACCACGGCTCCTTTGGTGATTTTCCACAAACCACCCATGAAGGTTACAACATGACCTTCATCATCAAGTTGTCCAACAGAAATCAAGTTTCTTTTCAAACCAGGCACATGTTTGACATTTTGTATCGTCCAAATAGATCCGTTTAGCAACCTGATTGTTACATCCTCTTTACCTACAATCTTCAAAGGTTTATCGTCAGCCAAATAAACCTTCTCGAAATCACCATGAATGTAATTGTCCATGATTTCCCTCTGTGAAGTAGAATGGAATGATGCCCCAGAATCTAAAATCCAAGATTCAAGAGGGCTATCAATACTCAAGATCAAAGCATCATAAATCTTCTCTGTTGTAACATTACAGGCACATGTCTGACATTTTGTATCGTCCAAATAGATCCGTTTAGCAACCTGATTGTTACATCCCCTTTACCTACAATCTTCAAAGGTTTATCATCAGCCAAATAAACCTTCTCGAAATCACCATGAATGTAATTGTCCATGATTTCCCTCTGTGAAGTAGAATGGAATGATGCCCCAGAATCTAAAATCCAAGATTCAAGAGGGCTATCAATACTCAAGATCAAAGCATCATAAATCTTCTCTGTTGTAGCATTAGCAGACTTCTGATTTTGATCACCTTTGTTCTTATTCAATATTGGGCAATCTCCTTTTACATGCCCCTTCTTTGCACAATTCCAGCAACTCTGTCCCTCTCTAGTTCTTGACTTGCTTCTGTGTTTGGATTTTGATATGTTGCAATTCGGGTTTTTTCTTACTGATCTTCCTATGGCTTCTGTATTCAGGGTAGAACTTGATGTTTCCCCTAATTCCCTCATGCGAATTTCTTCACTCAGAATTAAATCTCGAATATCATTGTAATTCAAATTTTCTTTTCCTGAAGAATTACTTACTGCTGTTACAGTATCATTCCAACTTTCTGGCAAACTAGATAGAAGAATCAAAGCCCTAACCTCACCATCAAATTCAATAGATACAAAACTCAATTGTGTTACCACAATATTGAATTCATTCAGATGCTCAGCCACCGAAGCACCTTCTATTATCCCCAGATTAAACAATCTACGCATCAAATAAACTTTATTTGAGGCAGAGGGTTTTTCGTACATGTTTGAGAGTGCCACTATGCGACCCGCTGTAGTCTTCTCCTTCACTATGTTAAACGCAACGTTACGAGACAACGTTAGCCGAATAACACCTAGCGCTTGGTGATCAAGAAGAGTCCACTCATCATCCTTCATTTTTTCTAGTTTCGTCCCTAAAAGGGGCTTATACAGTTTTTTCTGATACAGATAGTCTTCAATCTACATCTTCCAAAAGTCAAAATCTGTTCCATTGAATTTATCGATTCTAACATTTTCGTCTGTAGCCATCGCTCCCACTCGAACCAATACTCTGATACCAGTTGTTAGGAATTGGCCCTTCCTAACCAAGATCGGTGAGAGACGAAATAACAAACAAGAAAGAAATTAATGAATTAAACAAATCACACACACAAGAACACAAGGATTTACGTGGTTCACTCCAGAATAGGGCTACGCCCACGATTACTGTAGTTTTCACTATGATAAGAAAAATCCAACTCTATCTTAATCTAAAAGAGACCCCCCTCATCTATTTATAAGTATAGAATTAGGGTTACACGGAAGCACATGGGAATTGCGAAAGTACCCAAAACCTAGTGTTTGAGTGAACAGTACTTATCAAGATCCACCGACCCAACACAAATGGCATTCCATTTACCACAAAAGCAATAACTAATTCCTTATCCCGCACTTGAGCCATACAACTTAGATGCAAATCTGTATTAGAAATGGGCTGCTATTTTATAAAAATATTTTTATAATCAAATGAAAATCATGGCAATTAAGTGCCAATACTAGTGTAGTGTGTCACAATAGGTGAATAATACTTGGATTTATCTAACTCACAAATTTCAATTTCTAAAAATATAATCAACCAGCAACAATCAAGAAGAGAGATCAACGAATAACAATCAAGAACAACAATACATCAACAAACAAAGCAAACCAGCCAACTGAAGAGCATCATAGCAGTAGCTTGTTTCAACAAATATATTAAGTGAAGTGTTTTTTGTGATCTGAAAATTAAATTCTGAAAAGTATACTTACAGAGCAAGTTGTCAATAAAATTCCTCTGATGAACAATCCTCTTCATCAACCTGCGCCTGATCCTTGTGCATCCTCATAAACTTTTCAATCTCTTCAAACCTTTTGTTTTGCATTTCAATATTTCTAGCTTGCTCTTGTGTTACCAGGTTCTGGGCTGCAATTTGTTCTTGCCGGACCTCAGCCAAATTCTTTAATGACTCTATTTGTTGTTGTAGGCTCGACATCACCTCAACATGTGCTTGTGTACTAACAGAAGATTTTGATGAGGATGGTTTTCGACCAACTCTGAAGTCCTTTATGTATCCCAATTTACTTGTTCTAAGAACCTCAATTGACAACTGCTCTTGAGTTAAAGGTACTGCCCAGGCTCCAAAGACTTTTTACGTCGTTTTTTTAAAGCTTCCTATTAATTTGTAAACAACTTTAACAAATAGAACCAATTACATAAATATGTAACTATATTAATTGGCATACTTACATGTAATTCACCACATATTGGGGTTATCCAATCTGCCTTTCTCTTGCTCCAATGGGAATCTTTGTAAAAGTCTACAATGTCAACCTTCGCGGTACCCTAATTTCATCAATTTAAAAGTAAGTATACATAATTAATTTTAACTTAATCACACTTTTAAATATATTAAATGCATCACCTCTCTATACATTGTAGCTTGAAATGACTTAGAGCCCATTGTATGATTATATGGTAACTTCGATAAACTATTCCTCCATTTTTTAGCCAATTCCTACAAAAGTAATTGATTAGTAAAATTAAATTGAATTTGAAACATGATTCTTCAAGTTATGAAATTTTACTTGATAATTGCCATTAAGCCATACATGATTAATCATGTATACCCAAGCCTCATGGTTGACCTCTTTGTATGGCTTAATGTAAGAGTCAAAACCAGCTTCTACCAACTTTGAGTAATGCGTCTTTATCTTGTTATGCCAACTTTTGTAAAGGGTTTTACACTTCTTGTCGATTGCTTTCGGAACCTCTTCATTCTCATCATAATCAACAATCTCAAATTTATCTTGCAAATATATGAATACTTTTATTAATATTAAAATGCAAGTAATGGTGATAGTATAACTATTTTAAAAACAACAAACACAAGTACCCGAACTACCTGAATGATTGGGGCTTTATGAATCTCATCAATCTTATCCCACTTATAGGTACAATCATCCTAATTTGTAACTTAACTTCATTTGCAAATGGAGTGGCATAAGGCCCTATTTGCACCTTGGCATCTGCAGGGACCCAAATAGGAAGTTTTTTGCCACCATTTTTAGCTATGAGATGCGCTATGCTCTTCCCTCGAGTCTAACCCCTTATCTGTGTAAAACGGGTATGCAAAGTAGGTGTAGATGGTGCAGCTTGGGTAGTAACTTCATTTGTAGATGGTGCAACTTGTGTAATAGTTGCATTTGTAGATAGTACAACCTGAGTAGTAGTTGCATTTGTAGATGGTGCAGCCTGGATACGTAGAGCATTTGTAGATGGTACACTTTGAGCAGATGGAGTTAAGTTAGATGGTGCATGTTGAGTAAAGGCAGCAACTCTAGTTGGAGCTTGCTGGGTAGGTAGAGCAACTTTAGATAATGCTACACTTCTAACTTTACCAAGGCCTGTCATCTACCATAACAACTCAACAATTACATGTGTGAAGCATATGTAAAATAAGCAACTACATTAATATCAATGGATGTATGATATAATCAATATCAAAACATAAGTGATAACTAAACAATAACATGACATACGAAACAAAGAAAAATGGAGAAAGAGAAAGAGAAAGAGACATATACAAACACAGATACATTGAAACATATTCTTGGATAATCATTGTGCTCAAACTCAAACAATAAGGGCACTTAAGCAACAGTGTCATACAAAACATAAAAATTTAAAGTTCTATGTCAAAATCTATATTACAATCAAAATGACTATATAGCTCATCTTCTCGGATAGTGACAATGCTCTCAGTAATCATCTTTGTTATCTCATGTCTCTTCATCATCAACACCATCCTCGTGTGCTCGACTAACTGATTCTAAAACCGCCTCACTTGGGATAATCTGAGTATCGATGTCATTTGTATGAAGTGATATTATGACGGGGTCTTCAATGCTAATTGGGAAAACATCAGTTGTTTCATTCTGTTGGAATACATCATTAGCTTTAACGTCATCCTGTTCTGGTACATCCCATATTCCTCGATGTTGTAGTCTTTCTACAACTTTTCAATGTCCACCTAACTTTGTATCATCAACGTAGAAAATTTGTTTCACATGACTTGGTAAGACAAATGGATCATCTTTATACCATCGACTTTTAACATCAAAACTTGTGAAATGTGCATCAATGTGTAATGTTCTGCTGCTACCAGTGTTGAACCATTCGCATTGGAATAAAACAACTTGATGTCCAAGTATATAATGCATCTCTCATACTCTATTCGAGTATCTATAAAAGTCAATTGTTTGTCCCCCATGCTCCCTTTCTACAACCAACCCACTATTTTGGCATTTACGACGATTGTCACAATCCTTACTATGAAATCAAACACCATTGGAAATGTAAGCTGAATACAAATTAACTATACTACTAGGACCGTTTGCTAATGACCACAATTCATTAGTTGCTTCTGGTAATCCTTGAGCTCGTAAGTGGTTAATCTACATAATGACATATCAATTTGAATCATTATGTTAGTATTCATGTAAGTATAACTCAATAAAGTTTAGGCTTATATCTTACATGTTCTTTGAAACACTTGGGGAATCTTTCTGTCTTTTTGTGATGTCACGTGCACTTTGATTTTCTAAAAGATTTTTGTGTTACTTATTTACAAACATATGATTGATAAGTAACATATTATATTGAAAAAATAATTTCACAAAAATAATAATAATAATAATAATAAAAGCGTACTCCAGATAATGGTCAAACTTAAAGCTATTATTCAAGACAAACCAATAAGCCAGTTCACGTTCTTTCTGCGACACATCAAAAGCCCTTGCATTAGCCCAAAAGGACGAACATCTTGCGTGAAGACCTCTAACCTAGACTCATGCACATCAACATCGACGTTTTGTTCCTCTCGATTAAATACAGTTTCGACCCCACCCAGATACGTTGAGCAAAATATGAGACACTCCTTGACAATATAAGCTTCTGCGATCGAACCTTCTGGATGAGCTCGATTTGCAACATACCCTTTTAGAGTTCCAAGTAGCCTATGAAACAAACAATAAAATACTTTTATTACACATACTCACATTTTTATAAATATATACAGTTTGTTCTATAATTTAACTATTCTAGTATATTGCGCAGGCCCATCAAGAATGGCTTCGCGGGCAAATGAATGGCTAAATGGACCATCACATCAAAGAACGCTAATGGGAAAATTTTCTCCAGCTTGCATAATATGAGTACTATGCGATCCTTTAATTTTTCCAAATCCTTCACCTTCAATGTCTTTGAGCAAAGATCTTGAAAGAAAATTCCCAACTCAAATAATGCGACACATATATCATTGTGAAGATATCCATGCATTCCAATGGGAAGAAGTCATTGTAGAAGTGTATGACAATCATGACTTTTTAGGCCTATTAACTTATCACCTTTTGTGCTTACACACTTTGAGATGTTTGCCGCATAACCATCAGGATACTTAATTGACTTCAAAAACTCATAGAAACCATGTCTTTCATCTGAGGACAAAGTGTACAATGCTGGTTGCTTTTCAAATGATCTATCAGCACGCCTCTTTAGGTGCAACTCCTCATTTATTTTCATATCTTCCAAATCCATGTGTGCTTTTTCTGTGTCTTTGTTTTTTCTATCTATACTCAATAATGTTCTAAGCAAACTATCACATATATTCTTCTTTATGTGCATAACATCGAGGTTGTGTTGGAGTTTAAGTCTTTTCCAATATGGCAACTCAAAAAAGATGCTTTTTTTGGTCCAAATCAATACTGGATTTTCTCTTTTTCTTTTCTTATTGGTTGGATGCTTTCCAAATGGTCTGTATGTCCTTGAGTCCAATTTTTCTAAGATTTGCTCCCCTGGTAACTCCAAAGGTCTTGACACAAACTTAGTCTTACCGTTATAAAGTCGACTCCTACGCCAAGGGTAGTCATCAAGCAAGTAACGACAAGCGCCTGTGTACCCTATCTTACCTTTCAACCGTTGTGAGGATGCATTCTTGTTACATGTGGGACAAGCCAAATAACCTTTCGTGTTCCATCTAGACAAGTTTCCATATGTAGGAAAGTTATTAATTGTCCACATAACAGCTGCATGCATTCGAAAAGTTAATTCAGTTGAGGCATCATACGTAAGCATACCATCTTCCCATAACTCTTTCAGCTCATCAATTAATGGTTGCATGTAAACATCGATATCTCTACCTGGTGCTTGTGGTCTAGGGACAAGTAATGACAACATACTAAATAATTGTTTCATACATTTCTAAGGAGGCAAGTTGTAAAGCACAACAATCACAGGCCACATATTGTACGAGTGACTCATGTTCCCAAAAGGATTAAAACCATCAGTAGCCAACCGTAACCTCACAATTCGAGCCTCTTGGGAAAACACAGGATGTTGCCTATCAAAATCCTTCCCTGCCTCACCATCAGCCGGGTATCTCAATATCGCATCATCTACTCGTTTTTCTTTGTGTCATCTCATATCTACAACTATTTTTCTCGACATATATAATCTCTGCAACCTCGGTGTCAACGGGAAGTATCTTAAGATCTTATGGGAAATTTTCTTACCTTTTCCATCATTCAACTTGTATTTGGATTCTTGACAAATCAGACAATTTTCCAAATTTGTATTCTCCTTCTAGAAAAGTGCACAATCATACCTACATGCATGAATCGTAACATATCCTAAGCCTAAGTCACGCAAGAATTTTTTGGCTTCATAAAGGATCCATGGAATCACTTGATCACTTACCGGTAGAAGGTCCTTTAATATCCCCAACAACATGTTGAATGACTTATTGTTCCACTTGTTCAACACCTTCACATGAAGCATCTTAACAACAAATGATAAAACAGAAAACTTACGACACCCAGGGTACAACTCTCTTTGAGCATCATTTAATAATTTATCAAAGTTGCGCACATCCTCTTCTTCAACATTATTAGCCACATAATCGTCATCATTTTTTTCATCCCCCTCATTTTCATTATCATTCATGATAGTCCCAATGTAAACATCTCCTAACAAATTTAGGAATTCATCTTGATCTCTGTCTGTATTTTCTTCCATTCTATCCCTAACACTTCCAAAGTTATTGTGGTTGTCATCATTCAATGCATGAGATTGATTCATGGGAACAGATTCCCCGTGATGCACCCAAGTCTTATAAGAAGGGGACATACCTTTCACAACCAAATGATACTCCACAATTTTACCAGTGTGTTGTTCACAATTCAAACAGTCCATACAAGGGCAACAAATCTTACCATTTGGCCGTACTTTTGACATTACGAATTGAACAAAAGCCTTCACCCCCATCTCGATACTGGGAACTCATCCTATTCTTAAGTAACATCCAACTCTTGTCCATATTTGGTCACCTACAAAGCCAATGTTATGTGAAATTCCTTTGTTATTATGTACACTAATATTCAATAGGTAAGTGGTCCTATCTCATTTATGAATGCACAATGAAAACATATACTAAAATGAGATTGGGGAGGGTGCTGTCACAGCCCCTTGTTGTCACAGCAAAAGGCCCACTGTTTAGGTAGTTGGTTTGTTAAAAAAAAAAAAAAAATGCAATGTAGAGTAAAGGGTGAAAAAGAATCATATGGTAAGTGATGACATAGATATATACCTTTAAATCAATTAGGCATATGTAATTTATTGACAAGTTGTATTAACAATAATAATTGATAAGCAGGAATTACTATTCAAGTAGAGCATGCAATGTAGAGTAAAGGGTGAAAAAGAATCATATAGTAAGTGATGACATAGATATATAAATTATAATTGCTATATAAATTATGGTCTTCAAATTGTTACACATTAGTTTAGTTATTTTTGTAAAAGCATTTTCATTTATTTTAGCATTTTGACTTATTTATTTCTTGAGTTAGACATGGAATTGAGATTTTTGAAGCAAAACACAGCAACTACCCCCTAATTAGCATATTTGGTCATATCTTATTTATATATCAAATGGTGCCTTGGATCATCTAATTGTTTGTCATATCATGAATGCTCAAAACATTAAGATTTCATCTTTTTATGTACGTATGTGTTGTGATACATTCATAGTAGTAAAATGAAACTAAGAATACAATAAGTGAATCTTCTAATAGCCACAAATTTAATAAAAAAGTGTCAAAATTCTCTAAATAAATTAAAAATGCCTTAACAAATAGTCAAAGATTACCTAATGTAGTAATTGCCCCCAACGAACGAGTACAACTTTGTTATCTCTCTGCATCAATCGATAACCTATAACCTTGGCAATTGTAAATCAAAGTTTAAATTAAAATCGCACTTACATGAAATTAATGAAGAGTTATGGGCATGAAATGAATGTCAAATAACATATAAGGATACTCATGTCCTGTCTTCAATTTTTTTTAATTTTCTACCTTATTTGTCATACTTACTTGCCATGGATATGTGCAAAATAAAAAGTTCAACTACACATCTAAATAAATGATTGTAGTTCTAATCTAGACAACAATTGAATCAAGTATTCCCAACTTAAGCGCTAAAAGCATGTTTCTAATTTCGTCAGTTTAGTATCATGCACATAGATTGGAACCTTGGATTAAAGCAAAAATAAATATCAATTAAAGCAATGGCATGGCATGGCATGGCATCATAAATATCAATTAAAGCAATATCAGTTTAGTGTCATGCACCATCATACGTGAGCACACCATCTTTCCACAATTCCTTTACTTTTTACAAGACCCAAGTTCAAGCCACCACCATCACCTCACACACACACAAACACACACAAATATGAATACTTTTCTTGATATATATATTATACTAATTTTTATCAATCAAGAAAATTGTTAATGGAGGATATTTTCAATCCCTTCCATAAAAAATGGAATCTTTTTTTTGATCAGCAAAAAAATCTTTATTGATGAAAAAAACATACATTTCATATGAGATTACATCAATAGAAATGAAAGAAGAAAGAATAAAAAGAAGAACAAAGCACAATGTGTTGCTGCTACTAGCTGCCAACTGGTGTTTGCTAGTTTGCTTGTTGAAGCTAGGTTACTGCTAGAGCAGTGTTGTTGTCCTTGGTGGCTGCTGTTTGCTGGCTTCTGTTGCTGGCTTCTGTTGTTGCAAGTGTGTGGCTGTATTTGGGCTGCTGCTGTTGCAATGTTGTTGACCTTGGTGGCTGCAGCTTGCTACTGTTGTTTTTTCTGGCTCTGTTTTCTGGGTTTTGCTGGGTTGTAGCCACACAACAAATAGGCCACACCCAATAGACAAAACAGCAACAGCCACGCCCTATATGCAGGGTTTAATTTATTGTAGCTTATAAATAATGTCACACATTGGGTACTTTAAGGAGGGACATGGGATAGCCACACAACAAACAGCATAACAACGTAGAGGAACAAAGCAGTAGTAGCCACACAAAGCAACTGCTGCAGCAGCAGCCACACCAGCAGAAACCACACCCAACAAAGGGACAAATCATATTATACACAATAGAGGAACAACAACAACTCAACCCTTGATGTAGAACTTAACTTGATCAACAAAAAAAAAAGGGGGGGGGGGGAGGGGGGGAAAGCTACATGCATTATACCTCAGCTACATGTGTTATGATCTGTAAACTTGTGTTGTACTACATTTTTTTTCTCTTTTTTCCTTTTTGAAAAATTTCTTTTGTTTTCGATTTTATAAGATGCCATTTGTTCTTAAAAGGAGATACCATCCCTGAAAATATGGGAAGTGAGGTTCAATCAACATGTCCCAAAACACATCATATAATTGAGACTACCCTTTGTTCATAGTGCTACCTATGTTTTAATTATCATATATATATGGGACCTAATGTTCAATGATGAATAGTGTGAAGCAATGAGATATAATGGAAATGAACCCAATGGTTTCAAAGCTAAGCAACACCAAGTGGCACTTAACTTTTGGAAAATTATTCATAAACATGAGGTATAAAACTACAGGTATTATAGGGTTTGAGATGTTGGCTAGGACTATGCCAATATAATCAAAGTGTGAAGAAACAAATAGAGAAATAAATTTTGAGTGTTGGAGAATCAGAAAAATGTTATCAAATGGAGGTACAATTTTATGTAATGTCTACATGGCCAAATTGTTATGCCTATAGAGCATTGTGCTTAATTGTAAAAAATAAATAAAGATAGTTCCCGAATTGTATATAAGGCCTTCTTAATGTATAAGAAAGTGGGATGTCAAATAAATGCTATCTGAAGAGAGAAATGGGTACACGTAAACATAATTGTATCCCAAGAAGTAATACATGTGCTCAAAGTTTGATAGTCAATTCATAGTGACATAATATAGATATCATGCATCCAAATCACCAATTTCAATATAAGTCGACGGGTAAAAAACCATCACTTTCTCTTATTGATTTCAAAAGATGGGGGGAATAATAGATAAAATCTCAGTTCTCAACCTTAATTTGATGAAGTAAATGTTGTGTTCCATTTCCAAACCACCAACTAAGAATGAAACTAACCTGGTTACATGATCACATCAAAATAAGTCTTCAAGACTGAAAGTTCTATACTCTTTAGAAATCTCAATTGAACAAAACACAACAGAAAAATAAATGAAGATTTTACCCACATGTATATAATTTAAGTTTAGTAATTACAAAAAAACAACACATTTTTATGGCTTCGAATGTCTGCAAAACATATATATAGAATCTACGGACAAAAATTACCCAAAAAAAATTAAAAATAAAATTACTACAAAACTGTACAACTATCTTCAAAAACATGCAAAACCCGCTCGAATTCTAGGCCAATAACAACAATATGAATCTTCATCGCACAAAAACATTAGAACTAACACATCTATGACTACACATATACATATATAACCATGAAAAGACAAAAATAAATAACTAAGATAAAATCGAAAGCACAAAATCACAAAAGCAGCTCAAGTAAAAAAAGAAAACCAATTTAACTTCAGTAATTGCATTCTCAAACACAAAACAAACACATTTCAGTGTCTTTGACTTTTTGCAAACCATAGATACAGAACCTAAGGATAAAAAACAGCAAAAGAATAAAATTAAAATTACTACACAACCTCACAACTATCTTCAAAAATATTCAAAACCCCACTTGAATTCTAGCCCAATAAGATAATAAAAACAATCTCAATCCCACATAAACATGAAAACTAACAAATCTATGAGTACATACATATACATACATAACCATGAATATACCCAAAATAAAAAATAAAATAAAAATTAGTTTATTTCACCTTTATAACTTTAAAAATTAGTTTTAAAGAAAATACTTTCAAAATATCATTTGGCCCAGAGGAGAGAAGAGGGCAGCGACCCGAAGAGAAGGTTGCGATTTGCTGCCACCCAGCGCGACTGTGCTGTTGGCATTCGGTGGCACGAGAAAGCAAGAGGGAGAGGGAGAGGGACTACATTCAGAATATCAGAGACAAAGAAGAGAAGAGGGGAACGACCCAAAAAAAGGGTCGCGATCTGTTGCCGCCCAACGCTGTTGTGCCTCTTGCATTCAGCAGCGTTGGAAAGTGAGAGGGAGATGGAGAGAGGGAGAGAAGAAGAAGAAGAAGAAGAAGAAGAAGAAGAAGAAGAAGAGCATACTTGGATCTGTGCTGTGCCATTTCAAATGGAGTGAAAAAATGAGAAGGAGAAGTGATGATCAATTGTTTGTTTATTCACTTAGTCAACTATTTTTGGCAATAAAAAATCAGGGTAAAGACAAATAATTTATTGACAACCAAATTAATTTGGTTGCCATAAATATTATTCAAAATTTTGGCAACCAAGTAATGTTTGTCGCCAAACAAATACAATTGGCGACTAAAATTTTCATCTCTATAAATTAAATTGGTCACTGAAAAGTTTTAGTGCTCCCGCGCAAAAAATTCACTTGGCGCTAAACTCAATAGCGACCAAAATTATAAATTCATCGCCAAAAGTTTAGTTTTTAGTAACCATAAATATTCCGTCGCCAATTATGTATCTTTGGCAACTAAATTTTTGTTTGGTTGCTAAAAAATGTCACCAAAAATGCTTTTTGTTGTAGTGATTAGTTGATTGTTGTATCAATAGGTATGTGTTTTCTTGTTTGGTTGCTAAGAAAATATGTGAAATAGGAAGAATCTTAAACAATGGAATATAAACTTAGAGTAAAGCAATATCAGAGTATTTTATGTAAGCAATAGATGATAATACAATGTGTAACAAGTAATGGAAGACAATAGAGGACGTGGGAAAAAATGAAAAAACTATATTTTAGTTTTTTTTTTTCGAAATATGTACG